TGTGTGTGTGTGTGTGTGTGTGTGTGTGTGTGTGTGTGTGTGTGTGTCTGTTTCTGTGTGGCAGGGAAACAGAGAGAGAGAAAGAGAGAATAATTTCAGCAGTGGAGGCTGTTATTTTAAAGGCATCGTTGAAAAGCAGGTTAGGAACAGTGTTTCATAGCTATTTTTCAATTAGATTAGTCTTCCTTTCACTGTGCAGTGATGAGGAGGAAGAGTGTAAGACCTAAATGTATTCAGTAAAATATGCAGTGTAACACTGATATTGTGGTTCAAAACTCTTAAAACCACATTGTGAAAATACTCAACACAGTGTGAAACAATCCTAAATATATTCAAATTAACAAGAAATATTTGCTAGATGCTAACCATGGCATGCTGATAAGCTTACAACTGAATTGTTACTATGTTGATGTTTTCTAAGCAATGTTTACCATGTTCACCATCTTAGTTTAGCATGTTAGCCTGCCAACACTTGCTAATTAGTACTAAAGACATTACTGCTGAGGCTGATGTGAATGTCATTAATTCTGCAGGTATTTGGTCATAAACCAAAGTATTGGATGAATTGAAATGTTGACCTGATGATGGCGCTAGATGAAAAGTCAATGCATTTTTTACACTGGTCATCTGTGGTCATGAATATCTGAACCAAATTTCATGTCAATCCATCCAATAGTTTCCAGCACATTCCAAACTTAACCAAAAATTTCAACCTCATGGTGGTGCTGGAGGAAAAGTCATGGAATCCCTAAAGTCTGTAGGATTCATCCTCTGGGGACCTTGAATGGCTTCTCAAAATTTCATGGCAATCCATAGTTGTTTTAGTCCAGACCAAAGTTGTGGACCAACTAATTGACATTGCCATCCCAAGAGACACACGTGACAACAAAGCTAAAAAATACCCCATGAAGATCCAACACGTTCTCACACACCTCGTCAAATACAGACGGTTGGTCAGTGCACCTCAGAGTCTGACACCAACGCACAGAGGCTCTCTTTAGTGTCTGTATGAGACACAGCAGGCTTATGGCACTCGGGTGGGGAGATAGATGAATCAAACAAACCCAGGACTTACTCCCAGGAGAACAGTGTCCCAATGTGTTGTTGTTTTTTTTTAAATAACGATGCAGCGTTAAGTGACATGTGAAAAGCAGTTTCACAACATTAACCTTGCGGAGTATAAATGACATGAGAAATGCCCAGAAAACATGCTTATTACACACTGAAAAATTGTGCTATATATCTGTATGTGATTGGGTTGAACACAAACAGGACCTTCGTTGTCCTGTGTGTGTTCAGTGCAAAACTAAAAGTAAATGCCGTCATTTTGTCACGTGACTCCTTCGTCACTTTGTCGTGACTTAAGTTGTTAGACGCTTAGGGCCACTGACCAAGCGTCGGTATTTGATGAGTTGGGAGTGAGAATGTGTTGCAAGAGCAACTTACAAACTTGTTTGAGCTGAAGAATTCCTCATAGTGGACAAACAACATGTCTGCTTTGTTACCAAGATGATGTTGTTGATGTTTGATAAAATTGAAAACAGGCAAACGAAGTATGATCCTCAAATCTGCATTAGCTGTAAACAGAACGTTGACATATCATCTTGTAAAGTTAATATGAACTTTATAGCAAACAGTTTACAGACAGTTTTGGTCTCCACTGCTAAATGCTCCACTGTGTTCACCTGCTACACACTGACAAACAACCCATTGTTGTATGTGTGAAGACTTGTTGGTGTTACTGCATGCAGAATCTCAGAAATTCCAAAATTGACAACATTGCACGTTTTTCTTGTGTTTTGGCAATTTTGGAATTTTTGGAAGAGACCAACACTTCCCTCTTCCAGTGTTTTTGTTAAGCTGACATCAAATATTTTGTCTAATCTCTGTTAAGAACAAAGAGGTGAAACCGATATTGATCTTCTCATGTAGACAGCAAGGAAGCAAGGAGAGCAAATAAAATGTTTGCTTGATCAGTGTCCCTAAGCTTCAAGCTATGCCGCTCTCGGCCCCCCTCTAGCCTCACTTGTGGACGTTTCAGGGACGTGTCAGCATTGTGTCTTTTCAAAATAGAAACCAAATTAAACTTGGTTTGGTTTAGGAAAACATTGTGGTCTGGGTTCAAATTAGTGTTTGTTATGTAAAATAACTATGTTTAGTACGTAACTGCTGTAAGTGAAGTTCAGAAGTTACGTAACAAAACTAAGGTAAATAAGTCAACGCGACTTGGTTTCACAGTTCCACAGACAGCGGCCTCCTGAGTGAGAGTCCTGAGTTTGTTTGACCCATCCAACCTCCCCTTCCACCTACCCTACGCGGGCTCCCTTTCTCTCTCTATATAATGTGTCAGTTGCATTGACGTTAGTACATTGGTCACAGATGCAGAGGCACCCAGACTAAACAGCGGTATTTGATCAGTTGGGAGTAAGAATGTGTTGCCAAAGGACATGTGCTTCTGCAGAACTCTCCGCAACACCGTGGAAATGCAAAAACAGAATTCACTTAACTCAGCCGACACACTGCTCCTGCACAACCCCTGCATATGGTGTTACACCCAGTGTCCAATCCTTGATCATCAACACAGCCACTACCACAATCACAGCTAGAGCAATACCCAAAGTCATGCCATGTAATCCCCACCACGGCCTAGCTATATAATTCAAACCACAAACTGTATTAAGAATGGAATATCAGGTTGTTCATATGAATCAATTAATTCATTCATTTATTCATTTTCATTTTCATGTCAGATAAAAAAAGACAGGATGTGCACAAGTTATAAACCGTATCAGCCTTTTTTCAGTAGAATGCCTCTCTTTTGATATTCCTACAATTATCATTGATCTCTCGTGGATCTGGGGAAAAAAACAGAGACTAGATATGTTCTCAGACAAAAGTATTGAAATGTCAATGTGTTCATCACCAACTGCTGGTGCCATGTGTTGAGCAGCTGTCTGCAAGCTGTCAGGAAACGAGCACTGAGGCCCAACACCAACTGGAATGAGAGGTATCGTCAGTGTTCAGTACCTCTACCACAGACAAGTCAGGTTTCAGTAAACTGCTTAATCAGGATTACTCAACTGTCCGAACACACAGTGTACCTTTCTCATTGCTCTATTTGTGCCTCTTGTTCATCAAAACGTTTACCGCTGGCCTCCTTTTTCTCTTTTTTAAGAAGTTTGGCTAACCAAAGGGTTTACAACCTGTCTGACTGCTTGTGTTTCACTTCCCATCAAACTTCTTTTAAGTGACATTAACTTGGTTACAAGGTCCCTTGATTATCATTGTACAATAGGGTTGAACAACAAAATGCAGATTGTAGTCCCATTTTACTCAAGATAAACTCAGAACCTATATTCTATATGGAGGTTGGAGGATGAGTTAAGGAGTCTCACAGCCAGAGGAAAGAAGCTGTTCTGAAGTCTGGTGGTTCATCAGCTGATACTTCTGTATCTCTCTCCAGATAGCAGCAGGTGAACAGGTTGTGTCTGGGTGGGTTTAGTCTTTTAATATCCTTTGAGCTCTTCTCAGGCTCCTCTTCTCACCAATATCACTGATGCTCAGTAGACCAGTGATGTTCCTGGTGGTTTCTATCACCTGCTGTAGAGCCCTCCTGTCCTGGACCGTGAACATCCCATGTTAGTTTGTAATGTTTCCAGTCAGGATGCTTTCTATTGCTCCTCTGTAAAAGTTAACAAGAACTTGGCACAGGAATTTAGCCTTGTTAAGTTTCCTTCAGAAATACAGCTGTTTATGAGCTTTCTTCACCAGGATGGAGATGTGTGAGGACCATGTCAGCTTATTTGTGATGCTGATTCTCAGGAACTTAAAGCTGTTAACTTGCTCCACCTCAGCTCCATTGATGTAGACAGGGGTGTGCGTCTTCACCTCCTTTTTTCTCAAATCAACAATCAGCTCCTGATTCATAATATTAATAAAATGGATGGTGGTCAAAACAATAAGACCCTATTTGCAATACACTGGTATTAGCCTTTAAAGCTTTTTGGCCAGGAGAGGTGGTGTGTGTTTGGTTTTCCATTGTCAGCCTAGAGATAAATCAGCGATATCATTAAAGATATTGTATGTTTTAATACAGAGCCTCTGTCTCACACTATCTGTTCCCATGCAGTCAATTCTGACAGCACAGCAGGACGGATCATACGGTTGTTCTGTTTTGGGTATTTATTGGTATACATTCAGCATCAGTAACACCCTGCAACGCACACAGAAACCCATCAAACTGCTATGAGACGACCAGCTTCCCCATCCCAAAGCTATCGCCTCACAGAACACTTTCACACAGTCAGAGATAAAGAGAGAGGACGTGTGTGTGTGTGTGTGTGTGTGTGTGTGTGAGTGTGTGTGTGTGTGTGTTGGAAGGGAGGGAACATTCCAGAGAAGTTATAGACAAAAAGAGAAACTGAGAGGGACAAACATCATTGTAATGACTGCATGCAACTCGATACTCCTGCATACTGAATATTCCCCCCGAGGGCTTTTTCCATTACCCCAGAACGGTGCAGTCGTTTAGCTGATCCAGCCCAGCTTTTCCTCTCTCTTTCTTTCTTTCTTTCTTTCTTTCTTTTCTTTTCTGTTTTTTTCACAGACACACTGTGCAAATGTAACCTTTTGCAAGCCCCAACTCCCCCCGCTCCCCATCCCCAGGAAGCTGGCTAGCCACTTTGCTGCCAAGAAATATGAAATGCTGGCAGGCTGCCCGTTTCATCTGCAAGCACACAGCGGAAAAGGGAGGGAGGGCTGGAAGCAGCAGGAGATGGAGGGAGGGAGTGGAGGTGACACATAGGAGAAGGAAACGCTGAAGCTGTTCTTGCCACGAGGAAGAAAAAAGGAATCAAAAGCAGAGCAGCGAAAGAAAGCTGCAGAGAGATAAGGATGTATTTTACTTGCATGAAAAGGAGCTACATTACTGACTGAAGATGAATCATGTGGAACATTTTCTTAGCAGCAGCAAATCCCAGCCACTGATGAGCAGAGTGAGCATACACCACACACAGGCAACCAAATTCTGCTCTACTTGTCATGCCATAATAATAACAATGTAGCACATTTTCAAGAAATGCACCTCAAGATGTTATTGGAGGAAAATTGGTATATGGACTGTACTTGTATTTCTCTTTTCTAGTCTTCTGACCACTCAAAGCTCTTTAACACTACATGTCATCATTCACCCATTCATACACTGATGACAGGGGCTACCATGCAAGGTGCCACCTGCTCATCAGGACTATCTGATCCTTCACACAACATTCACACACCGTAGGCACAGCTACGGGAGCAACTTGGGGTTATGGACGAACCACTCTACCACTAATCCACAGTCACCCCAGCACTTTTCAATTTAGGTCTTATTGTCATTAGTGGAACCATTCTTAAATGCATCATGCTAACTTTGCAGTTAACATGAAAACAACTTACATATATACTACAAAACCTCATAAAGCTTTCCAAATATACATATGAGTCCAACCTGAAGGATAGAGAACTACTTACAGGCAACGTTCAAGTACTATTTTGGTAGAACTGTAGTTCCCTACCGAACTAGTACCAAACTGTACATAATTCAATAAAGGAACTCTTTGCCAAGTTTCTGAACTATATTCAGTTCGTTGACACATAACTGTGGCAACTGTAGGCTTTTCCTGCTGTGGTCACGGTGCACAATGTTCTAACGCGCCAGACACACTTTACACATCCACGTTCTTGTAAAAACATACTCCATAAATCCTTATAAAGTGCGTTAGGACACATGTTGTCTACATGCTGAAATGTCCCTGTGGTCTGGTTTATGTTGGACAAATTAAAACCTTAAAGATTCTCATATCTGAACACAAAACTGCAATACGCACACAAAACATGGATATTGCTGTTGCTCGACATTATGCACAGGTGAGTTGGAAGCGTCAATAAAATTGTGGGGAATAGAAAGGCGATGAGATGAATGAATGAACCAGTCTGACTGAGACAAGATGGATTTGACTTTGGACATTTTTTTTAGGCCCTAAAATGCTGTTCTAGTTGTACTTGTAATGTGACTTGTGAAGTTGAGCTCCGAATCCAAGATAACACCTATTTCTAATCTGCTCACTGAGTTTCAGGGACAGCGAGATCAGTTTGGAGTGGATCTCCTGTCGCTGACTTTTAGCTTCTACTATAAGGATCTCAGGTGAGTCTTTGTTTAACATTCTTATTCTTTCCCTGCTTCTCCAAGGAGCTTTTGGTGTTTTTTGCTAACGCTCCCATTTCTGTATTTGAGATATATACCTTTAGAAATTACATTTCAGTATTTGTGATGGAAAGACTTGAACTTAACATTTCTTAACACGAACCTCATTCTGAGCTGTTTGTGGTGTTAAAATTGTGAGCTACAGAGCAAAATACAAAACTGGTACCGTCTGCTTTCTTTGAGAAATTAGTGATCAGATTTAACATATACTTTTCATGCTCTGCTCCACTCTGACCGTGATGTTATCACTCTAGCACTTAACGAGCCATGCAATACACACCCATTATGAAATCTGAAATGGACCCACAATTTTCATTAAACTTAATCTCTGACTTCATGAAAAATGAGCTAGCTATCAAAATGGCCATTTGGCTCATTAAAGTCCAGCCTTTTGTCTACATTTTTCTACGTTAAAGTATGGCTCGTCAATATGGGCCCAAAGTTAAGTTGCTTTTTGCTTTCTTCATGCCGAAACCCCATTCAAGTGAATGTTCTTTGCGATTCTTGGGAAAACCGCTGAGCGAATCTCTGAGAAAAGTCATAGGACACCATTCCCGATCAAGCTGCACGGTTTGATGTATTTTTTGCGTAGGTGTTGGCAATGCTGTGTGAGGAAAAGCATGGCAAACTTTTAGGTGGAAGATGGAGAATAAGAAGTACTAGAAAATGCATTTCCTGCAGAAAATGCATTGGAATGCTGAAAGCTGAAATTAATTGCAAAACAATTGCTGAAAATACAGAAATGGGAGACCACCTGTCTGAAAAGTGTTGAAGGCTAGAAGCATTAAACTGCACTGCTGAAAAGCCTTCTAGTTGAAATGTATAACTGGCAGAGTTGGAAGCTAAACTGTATTATCGAACGAAGCTAAGAGCTGAATTACAATGCAGTAAAAGCTTGAAGCTAAACGATTTTGCTGTCAAAGTAATAGTAGTAAAAGCAGTAGTAGTGGTAGTAGTAGTAATAGTAGTAGAAGTACTAGAACTATTAGTAGGAGTAGTAGTAATAGCAGTTATAGTGATCATAGTAGTAGTTGAAATAACAGTAGTAGAAGTATTAGTAGTAGTAGTAATAGTAGTATTGGTAGTAGCAGTAATAACAGCAGTAGCAGTCATAGTCATAGTAATTAGCTGTAGTAGTGGTCATAGTAGTAGTTCATATAAAAGTAGTATTTGTAGAAGTAGTAGTAGTATTAGCAGTAATACCATTTATAGTAGTAGTAGTTGTAGTAGTTTTGTAGTAGTTGCAGTAATAGTAGTAGCAATGGCAGTTGTAGTAGAAGTGGTAGTTATACTATAAATATTATTAGTAGTAAAAGTATTTATAGCATTAGAATAAGTACTAGTAGTAGCAGTAGTGATATTTATAGTAGTAGTTGTAGTAGAAGTGGTAGTTGTAGAAGTATTATTGGTAGTAGAAGTATTAGTAGCATTAGAAGAAGAAGTAGTAGTAGTATCAGTAGTCATAGCTGTAGTAGTGGTCGTAGTCATTAAAATAACAGTAGTAGTAGTAGAAGAAGTAGTAGTAGTAGTAATAGTAATAGCAGTATTTGAAGTAGCAGTAATAGCAGTAGCAGTAGTACTAGTAGTAGTCGTACTAATAGCTGTAGTAGTATTAGTATTGGTAGTAGCATGAATAGCAGTAGTAGTAGTTGTAGTATAAGTAATAGCAGTAGTGGTAGTAGTAGTAGTAATAGTAGCAACAGCAGAAGTTGTAGTATAAGTAGTAGTAGTAGCAGTGGTAGTAGTAATACTAGAAATATTAGCAGCAGTAGTAGTAGCAGTATTAGTAAGAGCATTAAGTATTTCACCAAAAAAGCCTAATAGCTTAATGTTTAAATACAGTTAATCCATGGGGCTATTATTTTGAAAGGGTGGGGCTGGGTGGGGGAGAGAGGAGGAGAGGAGACAGAATCAGAATGTTTGAAAAACACAAACAGAGGTTATTAAATTACAGGCTTCATCACAAGCATTTCAGTTAGAATTCACTCTGTAGGGCTTTTATTCTGAAAGGGTGGGGCTGAGTGGGGGGGGGAGGAGACAGAATCAGAATGTTTGAAACACACAAACCAAGGTTATTAAATGACAGGATTCATCAGAAGCAATCCAGTTAGAATTCACTCTGTTGGGCTTTTATTTTGAAATGGGGGGTGGGGGGTGAAAGGGGACAAGTCCTCTATAAATCTCTAAGACCTGAATGACTGTATGAGAGAGACACACACAGAGAGAGACAGACGGACAGACAGAGTGAGTGAGTGAGGGAGAGAGAGAAGGAGAAAGAGAGACAGGCAGACAGATATAGATAGAAAGAGAGAGAGAAAGAGAGTCTGAGACAAGCAGACAGACAGATGGACTGAGTGAGTGGGAGAGAGAGACAAACAGACAGTTAGATGGACTGAGTGAGACAGATAGACAGACAGGAGGTCTAACGATCTTTCCCTGAATATCTCCCAGTCATTTGTGTATGTGTGTGCGTGTGTGTCTGTGTGTCTGTGTATTTATAAACTTCACTAATTAGCTCAATCAAAAACACCTGTGTGCCTGCAGCCTTTACATTGAGATAAAGCTGTGAAACACCTGTCAAACAAATCCTCAAAAAACCCATAACCACAGCTCTTATTGCTCCAATATTAGAACTGGAGAGGAAGGATGACTTGAAGAACAAATCATGTGAAAATTGTGTCTGTAGTGTAAAAAATGTGGCTTCACTGGCGATCTAGAAATGTTGTACGGTTGTCTGTGCAAGATTGTTTTGAAGTGAGAATTAACATTGGTCTCTATGGAGCAGATATTTGGTTTCCCTCTCAATTACAGGCTTCTGTGTCAAATGTGTAAATCTGTGGGATTCCACAGTCATTTGTCTACGACAAGGACACGATTATTTACTTTTCTACCAAAAATTATGCATGAAGAGTGAAAATTGTGGAATCTGGGGCAAAATATAATTTTATTTTTTTTTTAAATTGCAAAAAGCTTAATAATTCTAAAAGTTTAAAGGTTAGAAAGATGAAAAGTCATAGCACCCCTCTCCTACATTTTGATATTTGAATAGTTTCTGTAGCTTAAAAAATTTAGGAGATACGTGCCAAAAAACATACGGAAGAAATAGGGGAATAAAGAAATAGGATAACAATACTTGGAATGCTGAAGCAGCATTCCAACAATTAAGCCCGCAGGATTATAGTCAATGTGCTTTGGCACAAGCATTTTTACTGCCTTTGTGCCACAAAGCCACACTGAAATATGTAGAAGTGGTCTGAGATTGCTACAAATAGAATGGATGTTACTGTAATATTAAAACCCTTTAAGGTAACGAGGTGAAGTGTGTGGCCTTTTTCGTGAGTAGGCCCCATAACATGGTGAATCAACTCTTTGTTGCCAGTCTCATCCAGCCAGATCTCAGTGACTGTAATACACTCAAGTTTGTTGTGGCATATAATGTTATTAACAATGAAAGATTTATTATATAATGATCTGACATTTAGCAGTGCCAGCTTCAAACTGCCGGTGGCATTGCAGGTTTAATATGAACAAGGTTCATATGGCTCGCTAATCTATGTGATATGTTACTGCAGTTATGTCTATTGTTGATCATTACTGGAGTAGCGTTGTAGGCGTGGGATTTTTATGATAGGGCAAGAGTGCTGAGAGGAGAAAGAAGGGTTTATTCATGTAGACCCTGGTCCTTCCATGGAACATCAGTGTGATGTATCTTTCTGCAAGCTCTTCCTGTGGTTTGGATGTCTCCAAGTGATGCTCTTCCTGTCTGTTGCCAGGCAACAGAGGAGGAAAAATAGATGAGGTGATGAGTGAAGGTGAGCCCGAGGGAGGTAGATAGAAAAGAGAAAGGGAATGAGTGTGTGTGTGTGTGTGTGTGTGTGTGTGTGTGTGTGTGTGTGTGTGTATAGATGCATGTATGATGATACATGTATGTACACATGAACATAGTTGCAGAAATGAATCATTTGTAGTGGCCTTCTTACAGCAATGTTTTAAGGATTTATGTTTTTTCATTGGCATTATGGCAAAAAGTTATTTTTCATTACAGCCACATACAGCCATACACATTGCTTCATTTTATTTCCTGCAAAAAGGCAGAAAAACCTTTCAAAATGTGGATGGACCAGTAAGAATGTATTTTGGCTCCGTCCAAGGTCAGACAGTAAAGCACAACACACTGATAGTGGTGGGAATTGCTTAGTTGCAGGGTCTTGGGTCAGCTGATCATTTTGGGAAATCCAGCCCTGTTTTCATCCAAGCATCACATGAGGCATATTTTATACAGGGAGTTTTAACTATCTGTCTGTCACTTACTAACCTCTTTATATCCACCTGCCTCTTGGTGGGTTGGGGATCGGGATGAATGATACATGGGGTTATTAAAAAATAAATAAAAGATGTGGCTTAAAAGGTTAAAGGTTTATAGCTGAGTAATAATCCATTAATAAGGACACATATTGGGTTGCCAGATTGCAAATAATCCTTTAACTGGTGTATCTCCTCCTCCAGCATTAGTCTCTTAAGGAAGATCCCTTCAATGGTCCATTAAGTAATTTACTTTCTGGAAAAGATCTGAGAAATCAACTAATTAATAGTTTATTAACATTTACAATGTGATGGATTATGATAATGTGCCTTAATTGATGGCTTACTTCAGAACTCCAGATTTGATAGTTTATCACAGTGTGTAAGCCATAAATAAACAGCCATCTTGTCTGCAGTTGCAAATGTTTGACTCATAAGTTGTTCTTCCACTACAGTAATAAGTCAAGTCTGCAGTTGTAAATGCTATGTTACTAATAAATAGGTGTTTTCATTGCACTGATCATAAGTGTTCTTTCGATTGTGTCAATTGTGCATTGAGCTCTCAGGTCCGCCATATGTCATGTGCTGTGGTCAAAAATAAAGAGATCACTGGTCAGAGAATAGGTCATGTAATTGAA